GCATCCTCCCAGGGAAGCCAGCGGTGCCTCTGCGGAGCGGCTCAGTTTCGGGCTGTGCGCTGGCTGCGGAGCCAAGGGAAACAGCGGCAGCGGCCAGCTGGCACCCAGCCGGTGTGAGAATTCCCCTCGGAGCGCTGCAAACTGCCCGGCGCTCGGTGAGCAGACCTTCGCTGTCACCTCCGTGAGGTCCTAGACCTGGTTCTCTGGTGACATCCACCGTGTTCCTGCACAAATCTAACGAGAAATCCTAGATTTTAATGTGAAAACAGACAAACAGCTCTGCCTTGCGTCCCTCTGGCTGACCCACACTCTCCGCCCTGCTCTGGAAAGCGCAGCCGAAGGGACACGTTGGCAGCAGGAGTGACCATCGCTCCTCCGGCCACCTTGCCAAGAGGGGCCAGTGCCGTAAACCTTTACATAGGAACAGCGGCATGGATACATTCAAACAAACAAACAGATCCAAATATAACTTATTGTTCAAGAGAAAAAAAAAATAGAATAAATAAATATTTGTGATGGTGACCACCGGCATCCATTCCGACATACAATTAAAAATAGAATAACAATAGTAATAAATAAATAAATAAATAACTTAAGAGGTTTACTCCAATGCAATTCTGCTCCGGAAGCCCCAGGAGCGTTTAGCTGCCACGGGCTGAGTGAGCAGAGGCAGTCCTCGAAGCGCGGAACAGCCGGCCGGGGACGAGAGCCACTGTCCGCCCCGCATGGCCCTTGGGGTCATCTCCTGCCCCGCGGTCAGCTGCCCCGGCTGCGGAGCTTCCGTCGTCCGTCCCCAGCCACGAGGAACTCAAGCCAATGTTGTGTTCTGGTGTTTACACCCATTGCGCAAAGCCCCTCTTTTCTTCACCAGTTTTCGACCTCCCGGCTCGCTGCTTCCTTGCCACAGGTGCGCGTGCGCGTTCGGGGGTGTTCAGGGCCACGAGGCTGCTCTTGGACCGCTGGCGGATTTGGGGTCTGGGCTCCCGTCGCTGCCTCCGGGTCTTCCTATGGGGCAGCAGGACAGGGCGTTTCAACATCAAACTGGGAGAGACTCTTTGGGGATGGAGCGTGAGGTTTTCAGCCCTTTACAAGCAGGGATGTCACCGCAGAAGATGGCCAAGGGGCTGCTGCCAGGGGCAGGGCAGGAGGGAGGGCAGCAGCACCCTGCTGCGAGAACCCCCCGCCTGTGATCCCTCAGCCACAGCCCCAAGGTTCGCTCAGCCCTGCCAGGAATGCTTTTCTCCCTGTCCTAGAAAGCAGCCTCCCAGACAGACGCCCGTCCCACCGAACCACTGACTATACCAGCGCCCAGCTCTCTGCCTCGCCCACCCTCACATCACCCACAGAGAGCAGGGCAGGGGATGGGGGGCTGGCAGAAGGGGGGGGGAGGGGGCTTTGGGACTTGAAGGCACAGGACAAGGCGGACGAACAGTAGGAAGGACGCTGGGAAAAAGGGACCCCCAACATAAAACTTCCCTTCGCACTGCCCGGGGGGAAATACACGCCACGGTGCTGTACTTCCCAGCAGGTAACAGGTTTAGATGCCTGCTGAGGCCATCACCCAGCTCCACCAGCAGACCACCCGGCCTTCCTCCACTCGTGGCTTTGCCCCTTCCCCTGCTGCCAGCAGGACTGGGGGGGCTGTAGGTAACTCTTTAGCTGGGGCGGTTGCATTTCTTTCTACCCCCTCTCCTCCTCCAGCAGATGCTGGCTCCACTTAGCCCTTTTCTGCGACACTTAACTGACACACCTCCTTGACTCATTAAACCCAAACTCTTTAATGATCATGCAGGATGGAAGGGGAGGGGATGGAAAAAAGGGAGGGAGGGAAGCCTTAAGCCTAAATTAGCGTCTCTAAGCACCCAGGTGTTGTAAGCAAAAGAAACTCCTCAGCACCAGCTCAGCCTGTGCTGGGAGAAGCCTTCGTTACCCTGCGCACAGCACAGTAATTGCGCAGGCAGCCGGGCTGGCAGCGAGACAAAACCCCAGGGCCACGGGCGGCCCAGGCAGGCAGGGCCGTCCTGCCGCTGCCTGCGCCTCCTCGGGAAACCAGCGGGGGGCCCTTCCGAACCCCCGCCCTGCCCTGTCCTCCCACCACCAACCCGGGGTGCAGAGCCTCCACCCCAGCTGGGGCCAGTGCCCTTCTAACCCTGTGTGCTCTCACTGGTGTCGATGGGAGCAGTAACAATCACCAAGGTCAGGCAGCCTTGGCGACGGAAACTCCCCATTCCAACCAGGACAAGCTTCCTGGTCAAGGATAATCGGGTGTTCGTAGGCTGGTCGAGCGGATGCTGTACACCGTGATCTGCGGCTGTTGGTTAAGGCCCGGCAGACCAGAAACAAATACAAATATCTCCACTCGGGGTGTTGATTGGCATCTTACACAGCGGGTAGAAGAACCCCTGAAGAACATCACCACCACACCCCGCAGCCAGGCTATCTCCTGACGGTCCCTCCAAGGGCAAGGCTCCCTGCAGGCAAACCCAAACCCACGCTGCGAGGGTGTTCCTCCGAGAAGGGAACCCCACAGCCCCCACTTCCCACCCCATGGCCTGGCCCTGGGAGCGCAGCCTGGCACCAGGTCCCCTCTCCCTTGTGCCCCCCCAGCCCCACGTCTGCTGCAGACCTTGGCAGTTTTTTCGCAAGCACGTCTCAGTGCTGGGGGGGATAAAACAGCCCCTGTGGAAGATGATGCATACCTGGTAGGAAAGGGTGGGAGAAAGAGTAGGAATGGCCTTTATTTCCCCCAGAATTACGTCAGGAGGGATTTCTAGCCTTCTATTTATAGCAGGGACTGACTGACCGGCAATAAATAAATACTCTCTCATGGAAGAGGCCTGCTGCAGAGCGGGCAGAAACTCTGGAGGAGAGACCCAAGGGACCTGATATTTGCCTTGGTGGGGACGGGTTGGCCCCGCTCATCACCAAAGCTTCCCAGCAAATTCCTCCCTCACTGGGTCTCTTGCTCCAACAGAAACTAATTTCCTGGCTCCCAATTTGGCAGAAGAGCAAGGAGCTGAATTCTTTCCTTTGGACCAGCTGGTAGTGCTTTGGAGAGCAGCAGCGACGGGGAGACGGGGACGTCAGGGAGGATGGGGCAGGTCTGTCATGACAGACCCTCTGCGAAGCGCCGAGCCTTCTTCCAGCCCTGGCCTGGGGAGCTGGGACTGATCCACCCACTCCACGAGGTGACGACGGGGCTGCACCCGGCACACGAGGGCTTCTACTCCAAACCGGGGAATGGGGACCCGACACTGCCGCCACATCAGTATCGGGGATGATTGCTATCGATGGCCAGGGAGGTGGGAA